GCTTTAAGAGGAGGTTAGATGAACACCTTGCTGGGGTCGTTTGACCCCAGTACTCTTTCCTGCCATGGCAGGGGGTCGGACTAGATGATCTACTCAGGTCCCTTCCGACCCTAGAAACTACAGAACGAAGTGCAGCCAGAACCTCAGTAGGAGGTTCTGGAGGAGGCAGGAGAGAGGCTGCAACCTGGCGCACTTGAGGTAGGTGTGCGCCAGGGTCTCCCTCTGTTGGCATAAGGGGCAGGTGTCGAGGGTGTCTGTAAAGCACTCCAGCTACACGCCTGTGGAGACTGCTCCCTACAGAAGGTGCCAGCTGGGGTCCCTGGGTGGCTTGTGGGATCAAGGTGGAGTACAGACCTGTCCACCAAGAAGCTGCGTCCCTGCCCTCACTGTGGGTGCCCCACCACTCGTTGTCAAGGCAGGACTCAAGGACGGGATGATGGACAGCGTGGACCAAGAGTGTGTAGAGCTGGTGGCAGTGGATGGTTCAGAGGTGGAGGAGCTTTGTACCCCCCAGCCTGCTGAGATGGGGGGGCCTGCCGAGGCAGCAATCTCATGACTGGCTCCAGAGGGCTGGGGGATATTGGGAGGCAGGGACTACACTTGTGCAGGACCTGGTGGATGTAGGCGAGGGCAGCCTTTGCCTCCTGGAGCAAGTGGCAGGGAGCATGCAGCATGGGCAGCTCCATACAGTGGGCCAGCGCAGGGGAATCTGCCCACCCGCGCCTGGCATAGTCCAGGAGGTCTCCGACAAGTGCTGTTGGCTAGGACCACCTTCAGGTGCACCCAGGGCACCTGACACAAGCACCACCATCCTGTGATAGTAAGATGGTCCTACGGCCTGACCTGGTAAATGGCAGTTTTTAATGCTCTAAGAGTCTCCATAAACCACTGGGGGAAGCAGCTGTAAGTACCTTCAGTTGTGATCACTGACTTGAGAGTAGCCAAGAGGCTTCTTTGGTCCAACTGCTTCCACAGATGCAGCATCAGCTGCTCTTCAGGATGGCTCTCTAATCTTGTCTTGAAACCTCCAGTTAAAGGGATTCCGCGACTTCTCTGGGCAGCTTTTTCCACAGTCTTACTGCTCTTGCACGAAGCGAGTGTCTTTTGAGCTCTGATACAAATTTGCTCTGCTGCTGCTTAAAGCCATGGCCACAAACCCCATGTTTCATGGCTAGGGAGAGCAGTGATCTTGTGTTATGCTGTGACTGGTGCACACAGAGGAACTTTCTTGACTTATAAAATGGGTGTGGAGGGAAGGTATGGTAGAAAGACACTCTGCCTGACAGTTCTTCTATGCCAGGCAGGTTGCTGTCCCCCCTCTGCTGGGAGAAGGAGGTGGAAGGCAGGGATGGCACCTTCAGCAGAAGCTGGGATGAGTAACCAGGATCCTAGGGCTTAGCAGCAACTGGAGGAGACAACCTGATCTTTGGCACCAAAGCTCCACCCTTGTTACACCTGCCCAGGCTGCAAGGGATGAGCGTCACAATGTTCTACGCATTCTTGCCTGAAAAAAACCCATGCTTTTTCAGAATCAGAACATCCAAAGCCTGGGGTTTTCTGCTTTGCTCTGTCCTGCTATGCTCTGTGAAGACAAGTGCAGAAGCAGCACTGATCTGGACATACCAGTATGTCTCCCAGGTGCCACCTTGCCCTGCCTTCAGCACTAATTTGGTGTTTAGTGAAACCCCTACTCAGGGAAGGGGCAATGAGCATTTGGAGGCAAAGGTGACTTTGAAAGAGTAAGCCCTCTAATGGGCTGGACTTCTATCTCCCCCTTCCCCCATGCAGGCCATTCCAGTCCTCTCAAGGATGGTCTCAGCAGAACTTTCCTCTTTTCTCCTTCACAGGACCCACTTGGGCTCGATGGGCCATCCTGGTGATGGGGTGGAACTGTTAGAAGCGGTGCCCTGAAAGTGTCCCTTCCTGCACTCTGGTGCGGGTGGCATTTGTGCTGCATCCTGACTCCCCTTCCATGGGTAGCGGTAAGCAGGTGGAGGAGGAGGAGCATCTCAGCTCTGCAGTTAGGGGCCTGGCTGCCGAAACAAGCTAGAGGGACTAAGGAGTGACCTTCTGCTTAGTATGCTGCCCTTCTGGCTTGACACCCCGCAGGAGGGCTGCAGAAAGAACCGTGTGCTCCAGACTCGGTGCCATTTCCTTTCCTGTGGGGAGAAGGCTGCAGAGCAAGCCATCCCCACCTGGGCCACCTGACGTTGACCCCTTTCCTCTTCTGAGAGGGTTCCAGTCTCCCCAAATCCAAAACAGCAAAGGAGGCCTGGGGCTGCCGAGAACTGCAGAGACAGACTGAGACACGCAAGCACCTACAGATCTGTGGTGGGTTGGGACTCTTTGGCAGACAGGCCGTGCAGGCAGGGAAGGCTGGCTGAGCCACTAGCTGCTGTGGAGATGGACAAAACTGGAGGCAGGGGATTCCCCTGGTTGCCAGCGACTGACAGGTCTGGTTCTGCCCCCAAGCTGTGCACAGTTGACATCCCCCTGGTAACAGATCTGTGGCCCTTGGCACAAAGCAGAAAATACGATACATCCCAGGCAGGTAGCAAACGCCCCCCTGCTTAGCAACAGTGGCACAGCCGAGCAAGGAAGACGCTTGCACCCATCTGCACAGAGGGTTCCAACTCCCTGGCAAACAGACCTCGGAAGGCTGAACCAAGAGATAAAACCCTCAGCCTAATGTCACGTGAGCCCTGCTGACCTCTCCCATCTGTACTCAGACCTGCCTTCCTCTGCATCTGCTCCTGAAATAATATCGCTGCCAGCTCTGGTGCTCTGACCCACCCTGCCCTGCTCTGGAACCTAGGTCCTTGTAGGTTGGCCTCATCCCCTCCTGCATCCGTGCTGGTTCTTACCTGCATCTGAGACCCGATAACAGTGTTATTGCAGGCCAGTTCTGTCTTGTTGATTGTGTCTAGCATAGCAGTTTTGCCCACATAGTCTTTGTGAGAGCTCAGGTGCCGTTCCAGGAGGTTCTGCACATCAGCACTGTACTGGTTGGTAAAGGCTTCTTCATATTGATCTGTCCAGAGCCGGATCCGATTCTCCCACCCCTCAGCTGTGTTCTCATCCAGGGCATGTGCTTCAGAAGGAGAATTCTGCACCAAACAACAAAGGGTGAATGACCAGCACGTGCTGGGAACAGACCTACGTAAAGAGCTCTGGTGGGCTTGCTGGAGAAACACTGAAAGGAGACTGATCCGGAGCTAGGAAGTGACCCCATGACCAAACCTGAAGCCCCTCCCAATTACTCGGTGGGCACCGCTCCCAGACTTTTCCCTAGCCAATACCATAAAACTGCTGCATGAGGAGCTATGGATAACTTTGTGCCAGGGGCAAACTACGACTGGGATGATTCTTTGCTGACTGACTAGGTACTGCAAAAGCAGACGGAAGCATGATGGAGGACAGGAAAAACAGGCAGAAGGGGATGACTCTGCAGTCTTGCCCTATGATCCACCCAGGCATTCCCATGCCACCCAAGAGTGGAAGTGAGAAGAAAGCCCTGTCAGCATACACCAGCAAATAAGCTAAACTAAATATATCGAGCGATGCCAGATCCCTCCCTGGGTCTTCCCACGTGCAGAAAGAAACTAGGTGGGCAACAACGAGGTACATGCCATGTTCTCCTCGCCAGTCTTCTGACTACAACTTCTCCTTGCCCACTCTTTGCTTGTCCATATCCTCTTTCACCTTGCCCTCATTCCGTCACCCACAACCACAACAAGGAGGACATAAGAGTTAATGTTTACAATAAGGAGAAACAGGTTAGTGAAAATGCATAGCTGGGTAGAGGCTTAGAAAGGGAAACTCAACACAGAGAGGGAATTGAGAAGGAGAACAGCACAGACAGGGTTAGAATCAGAAGTAGGCAGGCATTTTCAGATAATAACATATAAACAAACACTTCACTCTGGCTTGGAACATCACCACTGTGTCCATCATCCAGTTATGAAAGGGGCAAATTTGCTGCTGCTACCCTGTCACCCCTCCCTCTTCCACTCTCTTGTCATACTGACTTCTTGCCTCTGGTCTTAAACTAGACCATTGCTCAAGTCTCCGTGTTCTACAATACCACATGGAGGCCCTGATCCCTATCAAGGCCTCCAGACACAACTGGATTAACAACAGAGGCAACCAATAAGTGACCCAAGGCATGGAAGAGAGATCTGCATGAGAGGAGATGCAGAAGACTGGGACTGTAAGTTCTGAGAGGAAATGAACAAAGCCATGATAAAGGCATATGGCAAGTGAATGAAAAGTGATAGTCAGGTAGTCCTGCTCACCCACTCCTGTAAGATAGTAGTTAGGGAGCCAAACAATGAAACTGAAAGGCAATAGATTTAACGTGGATAAAATGGAAATAGTCTTATGTTATACAACTCGTCTACGGAGCTCACTGCCAAGAGTCAGCAAGATTCATAATGGGCTGGGACATTTTGGCCCTCAGATACCACAACACCAACTCATACATACCCTTTAGATCAGACACACAATAAGGGGCATGAGGATTTATTTCTAACTTTATGATTGCAAGAAGCTCAGAAATGACAAGACAGTGATCATTTAAATGCCTAGGACAAACTGAGACTGAACCCGACTTTGTGCACCTTCCTTTGAATCATCAGGCTGTGGTAAGAGCTGAGATGCTGACTTGAAGGATCCTTGATATGGTCCATTAGAGCAATCCTAGGTTTCTAGGACTGTTGAGATACAAGGATATTCCCGTCCTCCCCTGCCCCGCCTTTCCCAGCTATAGTGCCAGTGCTGCGTCAGGAAGTCTAAATGCCTATATGTTTATCTATTCCTGTCCATGGAGCACGGAGACGAATGACACCATTTCTGCTGGGAATTCCAATACTATTCATTTGCATGGTCTCAAACAGCCAACTGAGAAAAAGTTTAGAAGAACCCTTGATACCATAGGACGGCTGACCCCCAGCCACTGGACCATGACCCATTTCTACATCTTAGATTCAAAATTCTTCCCTCACAGCTACCACTAATCAGCCCCACCCTAGACGGCAGCATGGGGTTCACCTAGAGCACAATCTGATGAGCCCTCTCAGGCAAAAAACACAGCTCACCAGCTGATGGGAAATTCCTCTCAGACTCATACCAGACAGGGCCCTTTGCGGTGGCAGGGAGGGGCGAGACTTATTCACCGCACGCTGCTAGAACCAGACCCCCAGGCAAAACAAGGCCAGAAGGAACCTGCAAGCAGAAATAAGAGCGCAATGCAAGCATCCCGTTCTACTCACCTTCATCCGCAGAGACTTCCGGGAGCCCTCTCGAAAGGCCTGTCCACAAAACAAGAGTGATACGCGTGAGTGTTCTGTGCACCAGGGAGCCCCAGGATCCCACTGCAATCAGGTGTTGCTTAAAACATTCAGCTCAACCCCAACCAAAGTGCTCAAAGATCACAGTTTTTCAAAGAGGCAGAAACCCAGGGAGATTACATCAGGGCTAAGGCAGAGCAAGATTGTCCCAGAGAGGGATTCCAGCAGATCTTTGAAGGAAGTTCTGCTACCAGGCTTCCTGACCCAAAAAAGACAAAAATCTTACTGTCCACATCATGACTACTCTCAACAGTCCAAACTGCCCTGACAGAAGGAAGGCCCAGAATTGCCTCTTGGTAAAGACTATAGAGTCAGCAACACTTAAAACAGAATCCGCTAGCTAATCTAAAACTACTATAGATCACAAGGGGCTAGGGCTGCCAGCCACTCTATACTAGCTAATACATTTATTTCTATAATCACTGTGGCTTCCAGATCAATTCCAAGCCTCATCTGGGAGCAAATTATATTGCATGTAGCTGCTGGTGATAAAGACACAAATAACTGCTTTGCACCACCGCAACAGAGCTGCCCTGCAAATAACTGCATTTCAGCACCCCTGGGGGAATGAGCTCAGTCCTGAAGAACCTTGCCCAACCCCACCAGGTGCTGCAGCCCTAAGTCCTCATCCCATTGCCACCAGCGACCTCTCAGCCACAGGCAGACACAGACCTTCAAGAGACTCTCCTGAACTTTGAGAAGACAGCAAGAAGAAGGGGGAAACAATTCAGAGCTGAGCCAAAAGCCTCAGACTACCAACCAGCAGTTCTGGGAAACAGGCTAGGAATCACCAATAAGCCTACTTGTAAAGGCTGAGGGGGGTGTCCTCAAGCAGTTCATAAAGAATAAGTGGTGGGATGAGAACTTCCCACTTTCTTAGCAGGTATGCCATACGTTAGCCCTGCCCCCCAGCAAGCATCACTCCTACTCTGTTCCCCTGCCCGATCTGCTGCTCTGCTTTTAGCACCCTATGCTACCTTTCCTCTCCCCAACCTACCATGTGCCACAAACACAGGCTGCCCGTGTCACTTGTGCCATACATGCCACAGACTGGCCATCCCTGGCCCAAGCATAATCAGGGGAGGCTCACTGATGCTTGGCCTCCAGCAGCTGGAGAATAGTGCAGCCTGTTTGCATTACTTCTCTTCAGCATCTGGTTTGAATCACTTCAGCCTTGTCTCACGTACCTTGATCTTTTTGGCCTTTGGTGCAGTGCGAGCCTTTTCTGTGCTCCTCTTCCTCTTTTTAGATTTGGTTCTGCGAACCCGGTTGACAGTCAGGGTGATGCTTGTGGGCGTGTGCTGTGTAGCAGTGTACAGCACTGTGGAGGGCGAGAGCTCCTCATCCCAACTCTCAGTTGCACTGCTATCTCCACCTACAAAAGAGTCATAGTAGCATCTTCTCTCTCTACTCCAGAGAACACAGCCTGTCTTCACGTCCTCTCAGCCCAAAATGACAACAGCAGTGCACGGCTCCCATTCGTGAGTGAGCACACAAGTCCAGCCATTGCTCACTGAACTTGACAGCTCAGAGGAAGGCACTGTTATGCACTTGGTCTTTCTATTACCAACAGAACTGACTGCATCTTAAGTCCTTACAGTGGGGGAAGAAAAGGGTCTGTGAGATCTGATCATCTCCCTATCCAAAGCCCCTCATGCAACCCCCGGCCACATGACATCCTACTGTAATCAAGGCCTACAGTGTACAACAGATAAAGAGCAAGGCAAACGATGGTGCCAACAGGGAATTTTTTAGGTTAATGTAAGTACAAATAATCCTATACCGAGAACCATGTCCCACTCTAAAGAGGAAGCAAAAAAGCCCACAGACCTTGCCAACCTGACCTGGAGGAAAGGTTCATCCCTGACCCCAAATCTAACAATTGGCTTAGCCCTGAATACATAAGCAAGACTCTTAGGTACCTGGAGGCAGACATACCTGCAGCAGCACATGCACACCCCAGCCAACTCCTACTCTAGCTGTGATAAAAATCCAGTGAATAACTTTTCTTCCTGGCCCTGACAGATGTTCAGTAGTCCCAAGCTTCTGGGCTTCTGAGCATCTCCCGCACAGAGGCTGAATTTCCTTCCAACACTACTGTGAGGTTACCCAATACTTGAATCTGCCTCACATAAGACTGATTATTGCTACAAGAGCAGTCCTAGCTTATTATATTATCTTTTCATAAACTTGTCAAGCTCCACCTTGAAGTAATGCTCCTGCTACTAAGAAAAGAAACAGGGAGCGCTGATCAGTTAGAGGGGACTACAACAGTTGCACGACAGTACCAAAGAACCTTCTGCCCTGTGCACTATTTGTATTTCCAGGACAATCTTGAACTTACCTGACACGTTGTCCTGCTTCCGGCGACGAAGTCTAATCACCTTCCCCCTGTTCATTCCTCTGCCAAAGGAGGATGCACAATTGAAGCTGATTTTTAAGGATTAAGCCACTTGCAAGTCAAGCAGATGACAAAAGATGTATGCCCCCAGTGAAGCCCAGCATGATAACACTGCTTTAACATCCCCGCCTCCAGTCCTGCTACCACTAGCGCTTGCTGGGCTGGGCTGAGAGCACAGAGGAGGAGGTCAATACCAGGTAAAATAATGGTTACCAACAGGAAGTCCATCCCCCAACCCAAACATGATACTTCATTTGATGTTGAAGTCAACACTAGAGAAGCTGTCCAGCTCTGCATTGCACCAAAACTTACCTGCACTTCTCACACTTGATGAGAAAGCCATCCTGGGAGAGACTGCAGTGACACCAAGTCGGAAGAGACTCTGCCTCTGAGGAGCTCTCACTGTCCCCAGAGTTCTCCTCATCAGGCGAGTGCAGGCCATTTAGTTCTGCACGAGGGATGATGGTCTGGACGGGGGGAGAGGCTGGGGGAGTTGGAGGAGGAGGGGCTCCATAGTTATGATCCTGGAAATAAACACCTGCATCAGTACTATTCTGAACGCTCTTATCAAAGCTCAGAAGCCTCAGGCCCAAGTCCACAGCCTGCTCAGTGCCCAGCTGTACCAGGAGCAACAAGTGTGAGCCTGAGGCCTAGATTCCTAAGTCTGCACACAGACAGAAGCAACACAAGTGGCATGCATGACAGTTCACTGTGTAAGCAGGTTATTAAGTTTGAAATCTATGATAGCAATCAAAACGTCAGCATTGATTATTTCGCTGCCGATCATCTGAGGAGCAGTACACTTATCTTATAATCTCAAGCTGTCTCCCACTTTTCCCCCCAGCCTTCCTCCACTTCTGGTCAGTTATGCATTGTCAGCACAAACCCTGCTGAATGCTGACAATAGAGTGCAAAGTGGAACCTGGCATCAGACAGTGCCAGTCCACTGCGACAGGTGCTGCACTAGGAGTTCATTCATTTCTAACCTGAAAGGTGGTGCCACCAAATCTCCCACTTGCCTTGCACACATCACAGGAACCAGGGGACCTGGCCACAGAACTTACACTGGGCTGGCGGCAGCACATATGGAGCCCTGGGAGCAACAACTGCTCAAGCTGTGGTTGGAATAGCAGAATGCCACCAAGTGCTGCTGCCCAAGAAGAGGCTGAACAAACATGCAGCTCTGTGACAAACAGCCAGGGAAGGGGCTGTAGCAGGAGAGGATGAGCAGAGTGCATTGAAAGGGACTGGCGCAGCACTGCAGATGAAAGGGAAAGTACTCACTGCATATGGCAGCCCTCGATAGCTGTGCCTTTGGGTGGCCCCATAGCCATGACTGGAGTATACATTCTTCTCGCTGACAGCTGGACTAGCTTCCACAGACTCTGGGCTGCAGAAAGGGCCAGAAGTAAAACCCATCAATACCGCAATGAACTTCCCTGTGTCAGGCACCTGCCAACACCTCAGCAGTCTCTTTCTTCAACAAAGTCAACTCGGCATGAAAAGACTCAGGGCACCAAGGTACATTATCCATTTCACTAGGTGGTCTGGATGAAAGGTCTGGGGCTGCAGGATAAACCAGTGGTTGGCAGAACAGCTGAGCGGGTACCAACCTGGGCGCTGCCTCCCCTTATGCAAAGCAGGGTCTGGGTGTGAGGAAGGTGGGGAGAAGAGTCAGAAACATGCCGAGCCACCCAACTGCACTCTGCCCATTCTCAAGCTCCTCCACTAGTTTTCCGTTCACACTGAATCCAGTACAACCTTTCCCTGCTGGGTTTCAAAACCTTCCATGACAGTCCTCTCTGGGTCCATGACGCTTCTTGTGCCCAGCTTCTCCCTTTACTTCTGGGGCCTTGTACCCAGCAACTGTAGATGTAACTGTGACCTCATCTCACACTTTGACCTTCTCCTTCTCTCATCTCTTTTCCAAATAGCAACTGAATGTACCTTGTCTGCCTGGATGCCTACTTCTGTCCCACTCAGCTAAGTATTAGGCAGCTCCGCAAACTATATCCCGGTACATTCAGGGAAGCTCCAACTGTCCTGCACACTTCTGGTACAGTTGGGGGAATCAGGGCACTCTATATTACAAAAACGTGGCAATGACACTCCCAACTCCGGCAAGGGGTGTGGGCAAATCAGATCGGCTTTTTGTTTCCTACACGCAGACACTGAAAAAGCAATGCGCTCATGGGAAGCTGCTGCTAATCTGAAGTGATGATGCACACTTCCACCGCATGGTGGCGAAAAATATCAGTTCAAAATCAAGTGCAAAACATTCTGCTGGCAAAAGGCTGCAGAAGCCCTGCTCAGAAGAAGGAAAGCTGCAATTCAGTGCAGGCAAGTGTTAGGTAATGAGGCTATGGACAGAATACCAGAAAGGTAATTTACTCTCTGTCGAGAGATGCTTCCAAATAAGAAATGGAAGAGCACTCACCACTATGTACATACAATTATGGGAACATGACACAGGAAAGAGCTGCATCCTGTGTGTAATTGCAGTCTTCTTCAAACATTATAGCATGGGGAGAGGCAGAGCCAAGAGACAGCACAGAAACGTAAATCCACCTGGGGACTGTGTTTTTCTGAAGGGATCTTCCAGGATTCTCATTCTTGGGGCTCGTTTGGCCCATGTGAATCAGGCAGAACTCCCACCAGCAAGGGCTCCAGCAGCTCTGGTCACAGCTTGGGGCCTGAGCCACACTGCCCAGGACACCAGCCTCTCCCTTGTAGATGCTGCAGTTAGTCTTTGACACCTCTGCTACGTTTAGGTTTGCCCACTGTGAACTCCTAGCTTGTGGTAGGGGAGGAACTTGGGCCAAGCAGAAGCCTTTCTCCAAAACCTGACCTGCCATTTGGTCATGGAGGAGCTACAGACCAAGACGTAAAGGGCTGAAGGCCCAGACTAGCAAACCTTTCATTATGCCGTAGCTCAGGATCTGGGACATGACATTATAAGCATGAATAGTCTTCATCATAGTTAGCTGTCTCTGCTGTTGAAGGGAAAAGACAGTGGGTCATGTCCTGGGGAAGGCTGTATTTCTCCTCAGAGCACGTGCAGAGTCTGTCGCCTCTTCACCAGTTGATGCAGCCCTGTTGGTCCTTTTTGCTCACACCTCCTCAGGATGCCTGCACTGGCCCATACTCCAACTCAGTCAGGCTCCTTCAGACTCCGAAAACCAGACAGACCAACAGAATCTGTCCTCAGCCTAACCCACCACCTTACGTACCTCCCAAGCAACAGAACACAAAGCAAGGCTGGGCATGGAGCACTGACACCGCTTCAGGAAGCATTAATGATGCATCAAGATTTTTAGCGCAAGAGGCTCCAGTGCAGACCGCCCCCTCCCACCCCCTTCAGTGGTAGGACAAAACGCTGACGTGCTGAGCTTCAACAGCTCCCAACATAGGACGAGGGGGAAGTAACCGCTGAAGCTTTAGAGATCCTGAAACAGTCACCCTGCTGCTCGGGACTTCTCCCTGCTTGCTAAAGCTGAAGGAAAGAGGATGCTAAAGGCCCGAGCTACACAGAGCTGCCTGACCTCGAAGGCTTCATCAGTAAGAGTCCACTTTCCTTCCATGCCTCTGGTTGATGAATATTATTCAAAGACAACACTTCATCCAATAAGCTACTGCCAACACCAGGTGCCAAGATCTGGAGAGTTTCAAGGTTTGAGGGTGCAAAACGCTTTGGGGTGAAACTATCCTGCCAGGTGGCACCATTCCATGACTGTCGCACACAGCAACTGGAGGCAACTTGGGCTTGTTTTGAAAAGGTCTCTTTCAAAGTGGTCCAGCATGGTCACATACTGGAGATACCAAAGTCGCCCCGGTCAGGGAGGAGGCACTGGCCTTGCAGAAAGCCTAGAGACACTTTTTCCTGATGTGTCAGTGCTCAAAATAATCTACGTAGCCAGATCTAACTCACCCTGGCTAGTAAGTGCCTGCCTCCCGTGGCTAATTCTCAGGCAGAGAACACAATGACTGCATGATAGCAACATTCACCTGTCACAGACAGTTTGAAACTCTTGACAGTAAAGGCAAAAAGAGGCATTGGGACAAGAGGTGCTGATGGTTACATGGCTAGCAATTAAAGACCAGCCCAGGATTCAGATGCCTTCTGAGGCCTAAGCAGAGCAGCAATCAAATGTTAGGTCACCAGTGAAAAATGCTCACCCTAAGAACCACTAGACAATGGACAAAATGGCACAAAAAGAAAAGGATGCCCAACACAGATGGAGACAGAGCAAGGCGAAGAGCAGGATCAACATGGTCCTGAGGGGAGCATTTTGACACACCATAATAGAACTTAAGGGGAGCAGTCAGATGTGGGGGAAACACAATAGCCCACACCATAACACCATGCTCTTATGGGTCAAGCCAGCAGAATTAGAAGAGTCCTGTCTTGCATTGGGAGATGCAAAACTAAGATGTGAGGATCCTGGACAGAAGGTATCGGGAAAAACAGCAAGAAACAAATGGGCCAATTCAGGGAGAGAGGTGATGTGATCTCAGGACTCTCTTGAAAGATGTAGGAGGAAAAAAAGCTAGAGGCATAAAGGAAACACTTCACCCCCCCCCCCCCCGG